CATGAGCTATTTCCCGACGGTTCTTAGTCATCAGCACTGAGGTGGGAGACCGGGGGCAAGGGAGGTTGACAAAAGACATCTGTCCGAATCCATCCCCGTGTGTTGTTTGAGCGAACGTTTAATCAAAGCATTGTTAGTCATTCCAGATGATCGAATAGCAAAATACTTGTAAAAAGGGATGCTAATGTAATTTATTTTGGTACAAAGCCTTTTTTCGACATTCAAACCACAATGCGTGTCTCGTGAGCGTACTAGTTCAATGCTATTGTAACTGCGAGCAAGTGCAATACTATTACTGTCCCATTACGGAGGTTTGAAATGTGTTGCCCATTCCATTTACATGAATAAAATATTTTTTTTATTAAAATTACCAGCATAAGCTGGCACACCTTTCCACCACACAGCTCTGTCACACGAAAACAAAAAAGCCACATAGGCGTGGGCCATATTAACATCACATGCTAATTTAAGTAAGTGCTATTTGTTTGCCAGCTTTACAGAAAGCCCAGGGGGCGCATACAATCATTTGACAGACCCGAAACAGCCCCTGCCACCGTCTCGGAAGAAAACCACATGTTGCTAGCGTGACACGACTTTTAATTTAATTCCAGCAGACTTCAGGGGGAATGCACGGTTGGGAAGAAGCTCCTCTACTTAGTATTCATGGGGGGAGGGGAGGGGGGGGCTTGTGGGAGTAATTCTATCTACAATCCATTCCCAATGTGGTGATTTTTTTTCTTTTTCTGCCTCCATTTCCAAAACGGGGCAGTCGTTCTATTTACCGAAAGGGTTTTCATTTCGATGGGAAGCGAGCGGGCTGCACGAGACTGACCGCCGTCGGCTTCTTTCTGATGAAGGTCACGGACGAGAGTGACCAACACCATCCACACCTTGACCTTGCTCTTCCCAAACCCAATCAGACGCATTAAACGGTAAAATGGTGCCACAATATTATTGGTTTTTTACCCTTCTATCTGGCAACAAAACTGACACCTTTTTACACGGAGTCATGTTTGCATAGACCGCAATACCTGCAGTCATAAATACAAACAAAAGACATAACTCTGACAATGTATGCACTGTCCTTGAAGTTGATTGATTGGCATCATCTGGTCCAACCCATGTGAGACTAGGCTCTAAGGAAAGCTGTCTCGGGTGTGGACCAATCAACTTCAAGGACAGTGCATACATTATCAGAGTTATGTCTTTTGTTTGTATTTATGACTGCAGGTATTGCGGTCTATGCAAACATGACTCCGTGTAAAAAGGTGTCAGTTTTGTTGCCAGATAGAAGGGTAAAAAACCAATTATCATATTTTTACTGGCAAATGAGGTTCCCATAGTGTGCCACTATCTCGCGGGGAGCGCCGTTGCCGCTGTTTGCCAGCGCCCTTCCTCCTTGACGAACCTGGCAATGGCCGCGTTCGATTCCCGCCCACGGATGTAACTAACCAGTCCTGGTCATCCGCTAGGTTGACTCGGCCTCAAGTGAGTCCTTTGGTACAGTGTGTAAACATCGGCACTGGTGACCAGGGGTAGTGAGCTCCACCTCATCGTGTGCCTTAATAGGTGCTCGCTAACAGAATGCACCCCAACAGGGCTATGCAGTCAGTTCTGCTATAACGTGTCTTGTTTTCATAACGTGAATTTGATATAACGCGATGAATGTATTAGGAAGAATTTTTTTTTAAACGCGGATGCGGATTGGATATAATGCGATTGAGTGAACAAATCTACGTTGCGCGAGTAGGAATAAGCATATTCTTGGTTCTTTCGGTAAAGTCACGTAGAAGGGAAACAATAACATAATAAAAATAAAACGGCGTGAGAATTATTTTATTATGTTTTATTTTTATTCTTTTATTATTTCCCTTCTACGTGACTTTACCGAAAGAAGCAAGAAGATGAATCCCTGCAGTCACGAAAGCTTTAAATCGAAATTTAGGAATAAGCAGTTTTTACGGCTGCCTTGGCTTAGCATGACACAAGGCACTGGGATGCTGCTGGATGCTTCGAGATGCTACCCACGTGCCTCAGTCTTTGTTCAGCCTGCGTAAGCATCTCATGTGTTATCGCGCACTGCGCTTTACCCTACATTACATATTATCTATAACGCGCTTTATAATAATGCAACTACCACGTTATAGGAGAACACGACTGCAATACCCAATAAGGGGGGATCTGTGTGTTCGTGTGTACACACAAAGAACAAATGAAGAAATAACAAGTACTCTGCAATATTATCCCGTTCGGTCGTGTGCGATGACAGGTTGTTAAAAATTGACAGCCGAAGCCGGCCCGAGCTTTAGTTCATCTCAGCACAGAAAATGATTACGAGGTGTTGGCCGCACAGTTCCCTGGCGCACCCTCACAGCCTAAAGAGGGGGTTCGCTAGATACCAGGGGAGCAAGGGTTCAACCCTGCCTCCTTCACACCCCCACATATCCCACAAACCCCCCCCCCCGGCCAATTTGATGAATAGTCGCGGTTCAGGGTCATGATTCAATTCAATAATTAATAGCACAGGTACGTCTAACATCGACGCACACCTCGGGTGGCTTTCAGGGTGGCGTTAACCCAGAGCATACAACGTATACAAAAGAAATAGATAAATTCTTGCACACGTGATTTGGTGCATGGGTTGTGAATTTAATAAATTATATATAAACTTACTAAGTGATGTATTGTTAAACCGTGACTGGATGGACTATAACACAAAGCTAAAGACCTGCGGCCTTGTGTGTACAGAAACCTGCGTTTGAGCATGTTGTGTATGGGCAACGATGACACAAGTGCTTGCAGACACAAAGATACGCCGTATAGCCCACAGAGATTTTTTGGGGAAAGTGCTGTTTGTCTCCCTAGTGCAGACGTTTATATACAAAGCAGGCATTGATTTAAGAGCGAGTTTATGGAGCGGAGGTCCAAAACCAGTTCAGATATTGCTCGTCATTGATATTAGCTGTGGATAATACAAGTATTCTTGGTTCTGTCGGTAAAGTCACGTAGAAGGGAAACAATAAAATAATACAAATATAAAACAATAAAATTCTCACGACGTTTCGACTGCAACACAAGCAATCATCATCAGGTGTGAAATCCACAGCAAGAATTTATTTTTTCAAATTTTTTGCTGTGGATTTCACACCTGATGATGATTGTTTGTGTTGCAGTCGAATTTTTTTTTTTTTAATTTTTTGCTGTGGATTTCACACCTGATGATGATTGCTTGTGTAGCAGTCGAAACGTCGTGAGAATTTTATCGTTTTATATTTTTATTATTTTATTGTTTCCCTTCTACGTGACTTTACCGAAAGAACCAAGAATATGAATCCCTGCAGTCACGAAAGCTTTAAATCAAGAGAATAAAAGTGCTTTGGGTTAGATCGCTTAAATATAAATGTGTCGTAAACCCGTCATTACTCGACACAGCCAACCAGTAAGGTTTGTCACTTGGCACGTTTTGCTTACGTGACAAACCTTACTGGTTGGCTGTGTCGGGTGATGGCGGGTTAACGACACATTTATATTTCGATTTAAAGATTTCGCGACTGCAGGGATTCATCTTCTTGGTTCTTTCGGTAAAGTCACGTAGAAGGGAAGTAATAAAATAATAAAAATAAAACATAATAAAATAATTCTCACGACGTTTCGGCCACAACGCAAGCAGCCGTCCTCAGGTGAAACCAGGTCTGTCGAGGCGACAGCATCTGAATTAATTCATGAATGAATTCAGACGTGAGAATAATTTTATTATTTTTTATTTTTATTATTTTATTACTTCCCTTCTACGTGACTTTACCGAAAGAACCAAGAAGATGGACACATTTATACTCACGCGATCTAACCCAAAAAAACCTTTATTACGAATAATATTGGTCGCGAAAGCCTACTACGTGTCAAACTGATGTGAGCTGTGGCTAAGAATCGACCTGATGACGGAGACTTGTGTTGCCTCCGAAACGTCGTGATTTTTTATTATTATTACTTTTATTAATTTTAATTTCATTTTTTACCTACGTGACTTTACCGAAAAAACTAAGAGTATGAATCCTTGCAGTCACGAAAGCTTCAAATCTAGAGCTAAGAATCGACCTCAGTCCACTGGGTGTGTAGCTCGTTAGGCCAACGGCAACCCACACAAATGTACGCGCACAGCCGCACACCCCTGCAACGCACCCTGGTGCGAATACAGACTCACACACACTGATAAATAGCAAATCACATTTCGGACATTTGACCGATTGGTCTATATTAGTCATCACTTTTTGGCACTCTATCACCTCTCCTGTGAGAGGTTGGGATCTTGCCCTGGGATGTGACTTGGTGGACTAATTGCCGATACTGGTGTGAGCAGCTAAGCGCTAGGCCCTTGTCTGTTTATACCTTTTGTTTTTATACCATATCTTGATTTGTTAATTAATTAAAAATTTCTGAGGGTTGCATTTACTTAATAATTGCTATCAATAGGATTAAGCCGTGAATATGATTCTGCATATAATTATTGTACAGCGTTGTGAAATGCAATTATAGCATGAATAACCCGATGTAAAACTGAAATTATTATAATAATTGTTATCGTAAAGGTTGAAGATCGTGACGGCATAGGCGTTGGGGCAGTTGGCTAGCTCGGCCGATTACTGAGGGTATTCTCTGTGTCCGTGTGCCTTCAAACCTGTGTGTGTCTCCAAGTGACAGTTATCTGAACTGGTCCTGGGCCTCCCCTAGGCCGACTCAGCCTCAAATGAGTACCTGGTGCGGTGTATAAAACATCGCCACTGGGGAGATAAAAGCGGCCGGGCGTGGTGCTGGCCACACACTCCCTCGTGTGCCGTGTCGGCCTTCATAGGTGCTCGCGAAACAGGACTTTCCCTAACAGTATGTTATCACTATAGGGGGGATCTTTGTTTTTGTGTCTATGACTGCGCGTGTGCGCGCGCGTGCGTGCGTGTGTGCGTGTGCGCGTGTGCGTGCGTGTGCACGCGCGTGTGTGCACTCACGTCTTCGTAAAGGTCGAAGAACGTGGCGACCAAGGCGTTGGGCAGCCGGGTCAGCTCAGGAAGGTCCCACAGGGGCTGCAGCATCCGCCCTGCAGCGCTGCAGCTTGGCTCCGTGCAGGGCACGTTCTCCAGCAGAAACGCGGTCCGTGAGCTGCAGCACATTGCACGTGCGGAGGCACGAGCGGACACAAGCGCAAGACACAACAAAGATCCCTCGAATAAATTTCGATTTAAAGCTTTCGTGACTGCAGGGATTCATCTTCTTGATTTTTTTCGGTGAAGTCACGTAGAAGGGAAATAATAAAATAATAAAAAGAAAACATAATAAAATATTTTATAAAAAGAAAACATAGTAAAATATTTTATTAAAAAATATTTTATTATGTTTTATTTTTATTATTGTATTATTTCCCTTCTACGTGACTTTACCGAAAGAACCAAGAAGATGAATCGCTCGAATAGCCATACGCAACACTGCTGCCAGTGAGCGAGTAGGAAAACCGCCTTTGCTTTCCGAGCGTTGATGCTTACACGCTGCACCGGGTACTCGTTTGAGAATGATTGAGGACTGGTTCAGTTGTCACTCGCCGCTGATGTTGGCCGTGCTCAGGAATCGCTGGGGTCTCCGGGTTTCGTTGCGCAGTGGCAGATGCAACAACTCTGCTCCTCCCCATCACAAACACAAAGAATACCCCGTGTAGCCTCCATAGATCATTGGGGGAAGTGCTTTCACCAACCACCGGTTAATGTGCACAGTGCTGATATTTACACACTGCACCAGGAACTCATATATGGCCGGAGGACAGGTTTAAATAACACGTCACTGAAACTATCCTTGGCTGTGAATCGACTTCAGGTCACCAGATTCGGACACTGCGGTTATCCCCGACTGTGACACCGTCACTGCTCAAAAAAGACACACACACAGGCACACAAAATGCCATCCTGTTTGACCATTCAAAAGTACCGTAGGCAAGCACCCATTAGGAACCGCATGGCATCCTGTACATGGGAGAATAAGTGCAAGGAACTATTTACAGTCTAATATGAAGGCTTTTGCGGCCATAAATATAAATGTGAGATCGCATTAATATAAACGTGGCTGTCACCTGATAAGGATGGTTGTAATTACCGGTGAAATGTCGAATTCGAATTGTAAACGTTGGGGGTTTACTCTCCAACACACCGGTGTGCTGTACAAGTAACGAATTGGCACGTTCTGTTTACGTGACAACTCTTACTAATTGGCTGTGTCGGGTGGTGGCGGGTTTAACGACACATTTATATTTACGCGACCTAACCCCAAAAAAAACTCTATTACGGATAACAATTCCAAGTAACAATTACTTCTCAAGAATTGGCGCTGGATAAGCTGCACAATAACCTTACTCTGTTGACAGTAGAGAGTGGTACCGGTGTAAACATCTCTACGTACAGACATAAAAATTGCCACCTTTGTGCATCCCTGAGATGTAAAACCAGCTTGCTCTGCTCTGCTCGCGCACAGGAGGCACGCAAGCTCGCAGAGCCATAGGTGCATGATTGAGTGATGTGCTAGCGCATGCACAGAAACGCAACAAGTACTTTCTTCTCGAGACGACGAAATCACCTTTTTCCCATGTAATTGCATTCAAAGGTTGAGGGTGCGTTTCGTTCACCGGTGTGTGTGTGTGTATTTGTGTGAGACCAAATTTGGTTAACTTTATTGACTCTGGGCGCAGATTTTTGATGCGTCTTATTTTCCAGAGCATTTTATAACCCGGAGAATATGGTACGACAAGGGTGGGCAGTGTCTTCCTTTACTGAAGGCCCAAAAAGGAAGTTTCAAATGCCTTTGGCAGGCAACCCACACGTTAACGCACACTTTGAGTGAGATAGATTTGACCATGTTGAGTGACCTACATAGAGACCTCAAAGACGTGCACATAGACCACCTTTAATCTCATACACGACATCAAATGACTTTTAAAATTATAAATTTACATAAAGACGCAGAAGTGAGTTACAAAGGCTAGGCTTTTAAAATTTCCCAAGGATTTTGCACAATTTCCCAATGAGTCTCGCAATGTTGCTGGGAAAAAAAATTATTACATGTTTTGTAGAAATATGGCTTAATCACATTTTATGTTTTGCCTATGAACACATTTTTTTGAATGAACTTAAAAAAGAAAACGTCATTATGACCAGAGGCAAATCACTTCAAAGTTCTCCCCCATTTATCAAAGCTCTGTATGTTGTTGGAATGTGATTTAATTTTACCTTCATATTAAAGTCAGCTCTTATTGTTTTGATTTTTAGTGGAAGTAAATTCACAGTCCGCTTGCTCAGCATCAATGGAATTAAAAAAAAAGATCATACACGGACATATGCAAGCAAATAAAATATGCCTCGTATAGCTTTTGACAGACTTGAAGGAAGTGCTGTTAGTGAGCACCAATGCGCATCAAGACGGTACCCTTAAATACACCACGCCCGGCCACCTCTGTCTCCCCAGTGCTGATGTTTACACACTACACCAGTTACACTTTTATTAAAGGCTGAGTCAACCGTGGAGAGGTCCTGGATTGCTTCAGATATTTGCCACTTGTTATTTGATGGTGTAGCGCGCTAACCGCTATGCTACCATTCTCCTAATTAAACATGCATATACTGGACTATATTATACAAAGATCCCCCGTATAGCCTTAACAGACTGTAGGGGCAAGTGCTGTTAGCGAGCACCTATGAAGGCCGGCACGGCACACGAGGGGGTGGGTGGCCAACACCACGCCGGGCCGCCTTTGTCTCCCTAGCGGCGATGTTTACACACCGCACCAGGTACTCATTTGAGGCTGAATCGACCTAGAGGAGGCCCAGGACCGGTTCAGATAATCCGTCACTGGTGTTTGCCGTGAGCGGGAATCGAACCCGGGTCGCCAGGTTCGTAGTGCAGCATGCTAACCGCTACTATATTACACACACACACACACGCATAAGTGCACTGAGAATAAATGACTCTGCATGAGGTATTACCATAACCTTTCCCTAGGCAAATATTACAATTGGAATGAGTGCCCAAAGTGCACAAAAGATAAAGTAATATATTTTTTTGTCATTTGATCTCGGCATACTTAATCAAGACCGTATAAATTTATATTTTCACAAATGCAGCCAATATAATGAAAAACAATTTAAGAATGCTAGCGCGTTTAAACACAGCAAAAGAGGTAAAGCCCACGAAGCTTCTCTTGCAAAATTAACATTTATATCAACGTTAATCAATTTTCAGATCCTTCCAAAAAGCTAAGAAAACGAACAAGCATGGAGATTCTAGATTTGAAGCTTTCGTGACTGCAAGGATTCATATTCTTAGGTTTTTTCGGTAAAGTCACGTAGGTAAAAAATTTAAATTAATAAAAGTAAAATAAAAATAAAATAAAAATCACGACGTTTCGGAGGCAACACAAGCTTCCGTCTTCAGGTGGAACCGTCACAGCACGACTGCTGCATCAAGTAAGAGAAATTCCAAGAAAACAGTCCTTGTATATATACTGGTTGAGGGTGGGAGCATCCATTGTGAGGTTCGGCATGGAGATGGCCAATTGGGTATAGGCTAGCATGAGAAAGCCAATCGGCATTCATATGTGATTGTCACCAGACCCTCATGTGAGCAAAACAAGTCTTTGTTTGGACTATTCTCAGCATTCATTAATCAGCAGAAAATGCTTTGTACCTTGACACCAGTGATAGAAGGGGCATTCTGTGATGACTAATGAGCCTTGCGTTTGTTTGTGGGTCTGTCTCAAGCGATACTTAAAAACAAATTCTTTTTTAGATCTCATTTAAATACAACTTAGTATGCATGTTTGGCTCCAGAGTCCCACGGCAATGACACATGCACTAGCTACACACGCACGCGCGCGCGCGCGTGAAACTCTCTCGCGAGACCATACCAATGACCCACTCTTACGTGGCATGAAAACACTGCAGCTCTGAGAGTAAAGTTAAGAAATGCCTTCAGACAAGCAATGTAATAACAATACAAAGGAATGGCCTCTCTGCCTCTTCCAGTTATGCCGTTGCTACGGCAAATGTGCGACGAAAGCCACCGCGTAGAAGCTTTGCCGTGAAAAGGCCACCCGTACTTTCAGTCTGATATTTTGGAGAGGCACGGCATTGTACGGAGCATAAAGCCACGGAGAGGGAATCAAAGCGGCTGGGTGGCTCAGGGCACAGCTAATGTTTGCGTGGGGAAATCATGCAAACACATCCCCCCGTTTTGGGTCTGTGCAGCAAGCTCTATATAAGAACGGGAGACACAGCAGAGCCTCACGATTCTGGCGAATTGCCCGATGATGCTGGATGCAATTACCAGCGAAACGTCGTACTCAAATTGTAAATGTTGTGGTTTCACGCTTCAACACACTGGTGGGCTAAAGCAGTGAACTATTTGTCTTTTGTCAACGTGACACTTTTTTACTGATTGGCCGTGTCGGGTGGTGGAGGGTTACGACACATTTATAAATAACGCGATCTAAACCCAAAAACGTTGATTATGAATAATATTGGTCGCGAAAGCCTGCTACGTGTTAAACTGAAGGTAGATGGTCTCTGCCCGATTGCCAATGATGGCACAAAAGACACCCGTGAAAAAAGTAAAAAAAATTGATACACACCAGACAAAAAAAAATTAACCCGTAAAAACAAAGTTTTTCACTATAAATCCTTTATATGCGTGGCATCGGTTTTATTTTATTATTCATTTCTGTTTTTCTTGAGTAAGAGTTTCATTTTATCACATTGGTATTTTAAATTAAATATGAATTTTTTTTCCCTAAAAAGTGGAAAATTGTTGAAAAAAATTTTCACGAAAATAAATTGTCACGCACAACGAGTCTGTGTGCAAAATGTCAGCTCGATTGGATCACGGGAAGTGGGTTAAAAAACGACCGAAAGATTTGCACGGTCGTAAGCGCGCAAGCAAGCAAGCAAGTGAACTTAATATAAAGGATTTTTAAAAAGGCAACTGATTTATTTAATAAAATGGCATTTAGGTGGTGCTCATCTCCTGTTTACAGTCCTGAAACCAGTGATGAAAATTCTGCAATCATATGGCATGGACAAGTCTATTCATAGAACCCCTCTTAATAAGGCGGTACTTATTTTTATCGA